TATTAGAGGTGGAAATATCTGGAATGGGATGATCTTAGAGGTGGATCCATCGCTAATAGGACCCCACTAGAGGTGGATCCATCTCATCTAGGATTCCATTACAGGCGAATCCATGTCTATTCGGATCCCATTATAGGTGGACCCATCTCTAATAATATTCAATTAGAGGTGGATCCATCTGTAATGGGATTCTGTTAGAGGTGAATCCATGTGTAGCAGGACTCTATTACAAGGTGGACCCATCTCTGTTAGGATTCCATTTGGAGCGGATCGATCTGTAATAGACTTTCAGTTGAGATGGACCCATCTCTCATAGGATTCCATCAATTGTGGATCCAGCTGTAGTTGGATTCCATTAGGGATGGATCCATCTCTACCAGGATTCTAGTAGATTTGGATCCATATGTAATAGGGTTCCATCAGAGGTGGACCCATCTGTATCAGGATTCTGGTAGGATTGAATTGGGGGTGGACCCGTTTGTATTACGATCCTATTAGAGGTAGATCCATATGTATTAGTATTCTATTAGAGGTGGATTCATGTCATGTAGGACCCCATCAGAGGTAGGTGGACCCATCCCTAATAGGATTCTCTCAGAGGTGGACCCACATGTAATAGGATTATAGTAGATGTGGGGCCATCTGTCATAGGGTTCTGTTAGAGATGGATCCATCCGCACTAGGATTCCATTAGATCCATCTCTAATCAGATACTACTAGAGGCGGGTCCATCCTTAATAGGACCCCATTCGAGGTGGATCCATTTGTCACAGGATTCTGTTAGAGGTGGACCAATCTCTAATAGCATGCCATTGGGGATGGAACCATCGTACTAGGATTCTATTAGAGGTGGATCCATATGTAATTGGATTCCATTAGAGGTGTATCCATGTCTAATTTGATTTTATCAGGGGTGGATCCATCGCTAATAGAATTATATCCGAGGTGGACGCATATGTAATGATGGTTAATCAGACGTGGGTTCATTTGTAAAAAAGATTATATTCGAGGTGGGTCCATCCGTACCAGGATTCCGTTCGAGGTGGATCCATCTCTGATGTGATGCCATTAGTTGTGGACCCATCTCTAATGGGATTCTATTAGAGGCGGATCCATATGTCATGAGATTATATTTAAGGTGGTTCCATCTGTAGTAGGATCTTATCAGGGGTGAATCCATTCCTAATCGGATTCTATGGAAGGTGGACCCATATGTAATAGGATTCTCTCGGGAGTGGATCCATTTGTAGTACGATTCTGTGAGAGGTGGGTGTCTTTTGTGATGACGATGATGATGATGATGATGACGAGCATGTGTTTCAATATGCTGCTGATGATGATGGTGATGACGAGCATGTGTTTCAAGATGTTGCTGATGATGATGGTGATGACGAGCATGTGTTTCAATGCGCTGCTGATGACGATGGTGATGACGAGCATGTGTTTCAAGATGCTGCTGATGACGAAGGTGTTGACGAGCATGTGTTTCAAGATGCTGCTGATGACGATGGTGCTGACCAGCATGTGTTTCAAGATGCTGCTGATGACGATGATGATGATGATGACGAGTATGTGTCTCAATATGCTGCCCATGACGATGGTAGCGACGAGCATGTGTTTCAAGATGCTGCTGATGACGATCATGATGATGAGTATGTGTTTCAAGATTCTGCTGGTGACGATGGTGATGACGAGCATGCGTTTCAAGATGTTGCTGATGATGATGGTGATGACGAGATGCGTTGGGAGCAATGCGTTGTCATAATGAGTTCCACAGAGCATAATCGAGTGGGAAGCACAGCCCACCAGAGTAAAGTTATCCTCTCTTTACCCTTTTTCCTCCTCTTCCTCCTCTGCCTCCACCTCCGTCTCTTCCTCCTCGCCCCTCTTACTTCCAGTGGGTGAGCGCCGAAGCGCGTTCCAGAGAGCTTAATAAGCCTTAATATCTCGATTCTCTGGCCTCCGGAGGCCCGAAACAAACATTAGCGGATTACACATTGATTTTTTTGTTGTTGAATTACAAAAGGGAATCCTTTTGTGGTGAATTACACATTGTTTTATTTTGTGACAGATTACAACAAAAGGATTCCTTACGTGAAGAATTACAAAAGGATTTCTTTTGTAGAGGATCACATGATGATTCCTTTTTGTGACGAATTACAAAAAGGAATCCTTCTGTGGTGAATTACACAAGGATCTCTTTTGTGGAGGATTACAAAGGGATTCCCCTTGGTGGAGGAATACAATGGGATTCCTTTGTGGAGGATTACACATTGATTTCCTTTGAGGGCTCTCCTGGAAGTGAACCAGGGGACAAAAGAAAAAACAAAAAAAAAAAACTTTGAAAATTAGGAAAATTGCAGGTTTCCAATAAATTTCAAAGGTTTCGAAGCAAAAACATATAAAAACACAATATTTCCAAGGTTTTGAGGCCGAAACCATATGAAAACACAGCATTTCTGCATTCGGATGGTGAAAATGCTATGTTTTTATATGTTTTTGCTTCAAAGCATTGGGAAATCATTGAAAACCTGTATTTTTTCAATTTTCAATGATTTTCTGATTTTTTTTTTTTTTTTTTTTTTTTTTGTTTTTCTGTTGTCCCCTGGTTCACTTCCAGGAAAGCACTCAAAGGAAATCAATTTGTAATCCTCCACAAAAGGAATCCCTTTGTATTCCTCCACCAAAGGGAATCCCTTTGTAATCCTCCACAAAAGGGATCCTTTTGTAATCCTCCACAAAAGGAATCCTTTTGTAATCCGCCACAAAAGGAAACACATTGCAATTCACCATGAACAGAATTCCCTTTTAATTTCCCACAAAAGAACTAAATTTAAGATGTGCTACAACAGAAATCGTTCACTACTTTGAGCAATCCCTTTAAAGATGACGAAAAGCATAATCAACAGGAAAGCAAGCACATCATAAGTAATAGACCAAAAACCGAAGTGGTACACACACACACACACGGTTTTATCAACCTTACGGGGGGGGGGGGGGGCAACGCACACACAGCATCGGTATGTTGGGGTGACGCCGATCGAGGTTCGCGGCGCGAAGCTTCTCTAGGGGAGCAAAAAGTGGCATAAACATACAAACTCGGAGGTCCGCGCGGATTTCTCGGATCGGCGCTGGGGCCCCCCGGCGGCGCCTCCGGCGCCGCCCTTGGCGCGCTCCGCGCGCCACGGAGGAGGCCCCAGCGCCGATCCAAGAAATCGGCGCGGACCTCCGAGTTTTTATGTTTATGACACTTTTTGTTCCCCCAGGAGACAGGCTCAGGGGGGGGTGCAGCCCCCGAGTCAGATGCTCGTCTGGGGGATCTCCCCGGGGCCCACCCAACGGCTCTGTTCGGCTCCAGTTCCATCCCAGCTCGATTGAAGTTCGGCTCGGGGGGGGGCGCAGCCCCCGAGTTAGATTGATGATGCTAACCTACTTTAGCCTTGATCACCAGGAAGAATCTCGAGCGCCCAAAAAGGTACCGAAACTCAAGGGTTTTCGCGCGTCGGGCCCTGGGGGGCACTCTTCCGACACTGTTCCGACACTGGTTCGACACTCTTTTGACACTTTTCCGTGTGCTCGAAATTTATTTCTGGGATGTGGTCCTTAAGTAGGCTGGGAACAACATAAAGTCAGATGCTCGTTTGGGGGATCTTCCGGGGACCCACCTGACGGATCTGTTCGACTCCAGTTCCACCCCAGTTCGATTCAAGTTCGGCCCAAGGTCGACGCAAGGTCGACTTCAGTTCGACTCGGATTCGACTCAGGGTCGACCAAGATCGACGGGCGTTCGGCGCAGCTTCGACGCAAGAGTGGAGCGAGTGTCTCCAGGGAGGTCCCCAGAAAGAGCATCCAAGGGTCGGAGTCGAAGATCCCAGGGCAACGTTAGGGGGGGAATAGGCACAGGAAAATGCAATCCCTGAGAGCCCCATTGCCTGGGATTCTGGAGTCGCAGTCTTTCTTCGAGCCAAGCGCTCTCGCCGCACGTCGGCCCCCCTGGCCCTCGCCAGTGGACGGGGTCCGAGGCTCTTGTCGTGATTGTTCGGGCGATGTTGCTACTGTTCGCGTCCATCCTCCTCCTCCTCCTCCTCCACCACCTCCTCCTCCTCCTCCTCCTCCTCCTCCTCCTCCTCCTCCTCCTTGTCCTCTTGGAGTGCTCATATGGTCCAAGCTAGAGATCCTCCCCCTCCGCCTCCTCGTCCTCCTCCTCTCCTCCACCTCCTCCTCCTCCCCTCCTCTTCCCTCCTCCTCCTCCTCCTTTCCTCTTGGAGTGCTCATATGGTCCAAGCCTAGAGATCTCCCCCTCCGCCTCCTCGTCCTCCTCCCCCTCCGCCTCCTCGTCCTCCTCCTCCTCCTCCTCCTCCTCCTCCTCCTCCCCCGACTCCTGCCCCCGCTCGTGGTTGTCCTCCCCAGCCGCAGGCTCTCCGGGAGGGGTCTGTGGGGAGGCGGGGCCTCCTCCGCGCCTGGCCCCCGCGGCCGCCGTGGCCCGCGGGGGCCTCTCCGAGAGCCACGGGGCACGGCGGGGAGGCTCGGCCGCCCCCAGGGCTCACGTCGGGCGCGCCCCCGGTGCAGGAGGAGTGTCCAGGCACGGCTAAACAGAACAAAACACTGTGTGGTGACGGTGGTCCGTGCTCTCCTGGCTATGTTTGCTATGTCTGGACTGTGTTTTACGCTGCTTCCAGCGTCCGCCTGCCGGAGGGCGCTCCCGACCCAGCCACCCCCAGGGGCGCGGAGAGCCTCGCGCTGCGCGCCCCGCGGCCCGGGCTCCAGTGCCCTCTTCCCTCCTCCCCCTGCTATCGCTCCTGCTCGCCGGCGGCCTTCCGCCCCTCCCCCCAACTGGGCCGCGCTGCCACGGTCTCACGGATTGAGGTGTGCGTGTGCCTCTGCGGGGGGTGCATCTCTCCTCCCTCCTCCGCGGCAGCACCGTCGCCATCGTTTTCTCGCCGTCGTCCTCGGCGCGCGGCCCCGCGTCAAAACACAAGGGGAGCTCCGCGCGCGCGCGCCCGAGGGCCGCGCGCGCGCGGGCTGCGCCTCCTTGCCAGCCTGGAACATTTCCCTATCCCTATGCTGGGCACCTCCTCATCACGATGCCAATCTTAGGGATTCCCTTATTTTTTGGGAGCGAATCCCTAAGGTTGTCATCGCCTTTTGGCGTGTCAATCTTAGGGATAGGGATACGCTCGAGGCTGGTAACCTCCCAAGGGCGGGCGGCCGCGCAGGGCCCGCGGGGCCCGCGGGGCATGGAGGAGCCCGTCGCGTCGGGCGCCCGCTGACGGCATCGTTTCGCGCGGGGGCCCCGCCCGCGTGCGCGCGCGCCTCGGGCGGCGCGGCTCGGCCGGGGTCAGGGCGGTGGAGGAGGAGGGGGAGGAGGAGGAGGAGGAGGAGGAGGAGGAGGGGAGGAGGGAGGAGGAGGAGGAGGAGGAGGAGGAGGAGGAGGAGGGGGAGGAGGAGGAGGAGGAGCAGGAGGAGGAGGAGGAGGAGGAGGAGGAGAATGTTAAGAGGGGCAGAGGAGGGCCCCCAACCCCGCTTTCCGCATGGGCCGCCGCATCTGTCGGCAGCGACCGCCGCCGCGCGCCGAGGCGGCCGCGCGGGCGTGATCGCGAAGGGTGGGCGCCTGAAGCTGCGGAGCTGAACCCGCTCGGGACATCGGCTTGCGCGTTGCGGTGCAGTTTTCGTGATGGACCGCAGCACTGAGCACCGATGGGGGGCATCGGGCAGTGATGGGGAGGGGGAGGAAAGAATCAAGGCCACGCTGCCGCAGGTAGCCCGTGAGCGTGCTAATTCGTTGCTGTTGGTCCAGAGGCCCAGCGTTGCTTCAGCAGTCACACGCCGATGGGCTCCCCGGCGGCGGCCGTGTCGCTTGATGTTGCCTCTGCTCTCCGGAGCTGGGCCTCCTTCGGGAGGCCGGGGGGGCCCCCTCGGGAGCCACCCCAGGATCGCTTCTTGGGTGCGCTTTTGGGGCGCTCTTGGAGCGCTCTTGGAGCCATCTTGGAGCGCTCTGGGAGCCATCTTGGGGCGCTCTTGGAGCGCTCTTGGGGCGCTCTTGGAGCCATCTTGGAGCGCTCCTGGGTGCTCTCTTGGGGGTGGGGCCGTCCTGGGGCCCTCTTATGGGCCATCTCGGAGCCCTCCCGGGGGGCGGGGCGGCGGCCCGGGCTGGGCGGGCGGGCGCGCCGTGGGCCACATCGGATGCCGAGTCGTCGGGGGGGAGGTGGACTAAGTCGGGCCTACAGGAGGATTCCAGACGAAAAATAAAAAATACCCCAAACATAATCAAGAAATAGTCAAAAAATAGTCTGGGGACTTTTCTATAAAAAATACCCCAAACATAGTCAAGAAATAGTCAAACAATAGTCTGGGGACTATTTTTTTAGTATTGTTTGATCTTTTTGGGGCATTCCTCGGGTATTTTTGGGGTATTGTAGTGGCCTTCGGCCAGTGCCGCCGATCTGGGGCGCTCCGACTGATGTGATCCTTCTTCGCCCCTGTCCCTCCTCTCTTTTTCCCTCCCCTCCTCTCACTCAGCATTTATCCAGTGGCCGTCGGCCTATCCTATTTTTGGTGTATTTTTGTTATTTTTCGTCGGAAACTCCCCTGTATAGGGGGACGCGCCCGACAGAAGAGGAGGAGGAGGATCGCCGAGAGCCCGCCTCTCCGCGGATCGGGGCCCGCCCTCGCCGGAGGAGGCTCCGGGGGGCGGCCGTTCCGGGAGGGGTCCCGATCGGGGACGGAGACCGGAGGTGGGCAGACCTCCCACCCCGACGCGTCGATTGAGGAGGAGGAGGAGGAGGAGGAGGAGGAGGAGGAGGAGGAGGAGGCCCCCTACTCTGGGCCAGGGCTCCTCCTCCTCCTCCTCTTCCTCCTCCTCCTCCTCATTCTCCTCGTCCTCATCCTCCTCGTCCTCCTCCTCCTCATCCTCCTCGTCCTCTCCTCCTCCTCGGCGGAGGGCGGACAACATCAATCGGGGGTGGACAGACCTCCCACCCTGACGCGTCGCTTGAGGAATTGGCCGTTTTCGCTTCGCGAGGGGGCGTCGCGGTCGTCGTTTTTGCGGGTCCAGGTCCGTCGGTGCAGTCCCAGGCCGTTTTCACTCAGGGGAGGTTTGCTAAAGGGAGGTTTGTCCACCGCCGGACGGACGAAGACGGGCAGTAGATCTTGTCCGTTTTTGGCAGGGCTCGCTGCCGGTGTCGCCGCGGACAACGTCAGTTCGGGACAAGCGTCGTGGCCCAATAACGGCCGCTGCCGATTTTGAGCACCGCTTGCCGTTGAGCATCGTACCCGTTTGTGTTGTCGTCCTGTCTGTACCCCTTTCCGTTGTGGCAGCGCGCGGGTGCCAGCGCAGGGCTGGGTTTTAGTCGGGCCTGTCCCTCTACCCAAAAACAGTCAAACAATCGTCTGGGGACGATGTTTTGACCATTCTTGAGTATTCTAGAGTATTGTTTGACATTTTTTCATTTTTCGCCCAAAATCCCCATGTAGGGGGACAGGCCCGACGTAAGGCGCCATCCCCGCTGGACCTCAACGGTGTTTGGGGGATTTCGTGGGCTGTTTTCGTCTCGATTTCGTTTTGCGGTAAGGGCGGATTGAAGCCAAAACGAGGGAACACGAAATCAAAACGAAAACAGAACGAAAACGAAGACCAAACGAAAACGAACACGAAAAATCAAAACGAATACGAAAACGAGGGAACACGAAAACAACACGAAAACGAAAACAAAACGAGGGAACACGAAAACAAAACGAAAACGAAAACACAACAAAACGACAACGAAAACAAAACGAAAACGAAAACGAATCAGCCCCAGGTGCCAGCGCAGGGCCGGGCCCGCGTCTCTTCGGGGTCCTCGCCTGGAGCCTCCGAGCTCCCCCGCGGCCTCCCCGTGCCGGAGCGCGCCGGTGCCCCCCTCCGCCGGAGCCTGCGGCACGCTGGCCCGAGGCCCCGCCTCTGCCCGACGGTGCTCTCTCTCTCTCTCTCTCTCTCTCGTTTCTGCGCGCCAGCACTGGCCTGCTCCTCCTCCTCCTCCTCCCCCTCCTCCTCCTCCCCCTCCTCCTCCTCCTCCTACTCCTCCTCCCCCTCCTCCTCGTCCTCCTCCTCCTCCTCCTCCTCCTCCTCCTCCTCCTCCTCCTCCTCCTCCTCCTCCTCCTCCTCCTCCCCCTCCCCCTCCCCCTGTGCGCCCTGGCCGTGCGCGCCCGCACTGGAGCCCACGGGGCACGGAGTTTCCACCCGCTCGGACGCATCTCCCGGGAGGTCAAATGCTGAGTTTGCCCTGGTCCGAAGTCCGGCTCAATCCGGCTTGATCCCGCTCAATCCGGCTTTATCCCGGCTGATCCGGCTCAATTCCGCTGAATCCGAGGCCCACTCTGGCGTAACCGCTCCCACATGGGGCTCAATCCTCCTTATAATCTTCCTGCCGAACACTTCCCAGCAGTTGCCTCCTAACACCCGCCTCGGTCCCGAACGTTCCCACCCCGCGTCGGCGCCATTGCCGCGCCCCGAATGCTTTGCGTGTGCATCTGTAGACACGTATGCAGATGTGCATGTTACATGTTTCACTGCATATACGCTGCACCTGCTATGGTCAGGGTGAGGGGGCCGAGCGGTCATTCGCTGTCCGTAGTGAGGTTTGTCGGTGCGGTTTGTTGTTGTTGTTGCTGCTGGTGTTGTTGTTGATATGGTCGTTCTTGTTGCTGCTGCTGGTGGTGTTCTTGTTGCTGTCGTTGTTGTTGGTGGTGGTGATGTTGTTGTTGGTGTTGTTGTCGCTGCTGTTTGTGTGGTTGTTGTTGTCGTCGTCGTCGTCGTCGTCGTCGTCGTCGTCGTCGTCGTCGTCGTCGTCGTCGTCGTCGTCGTCGTCGTCGTCGTCGTCGTCCCCCCCGCGACCTGGCCCGCCTCCCACCTGCGACCCACCCGCGACCCACCCGCGACCCACCCCGCGACCCACCCCGCGACCCACCCGCGACCCACCCCGCGACGCACCCCGCGACCCGACCGAGAACCACCCGCGACCCACGCGTAACCCAATCGAGATCCACCCCCGACCCGGCCCGCGACCCACCCGCGACCCACCCGCGACCCACCTCACGACCCACCCAAATTGCTTTAACGGAAAAAATCGGCGCCTGCGGCGGGCTCACTGCATCATTTATAAAAGTTATGCGCCTGCGGCGATTTTTTTCAGAGCCTCGCAGACTGCCGACGTTCTCGCCGCCCCCTTGCTCTTATACTAATACGCAAGTGTGAAGTGCTACGTATTACGTACGTATATCTTGCAGTCCAGTTAGCTTGCGGCGAATCCCGCCACCGTACCAGCGCAGCAGCGCAGCAGGATCGGCTCGAGTTAACACACCTGTTCCATATCATCGCTCAGTCAAAATTGGTGCGGGTCTTGAGCGCTTCCTCCTTGCTCGCGGTCTCGTTGTTTGTCTTCCGTCCTTACATCTCCAATCTGGCGCGGGTTTACGATTCAACCTGAGCGACGTAGACAACAGCGGAGTCGTGTTCCACGACATTGAAGCGTGAGCGTCCCGCGTAAGGTCTCGCGTAAGGTCGCGCGTAAGCGTCCCGCGTAAGGAGCGCGCTGGCGACCCGCGTAAGTTGCCGCGGAAGGTCGCTCTGTCATCTTGCGTAAGACCTCTGATCTTTTCGTCGCCCACCTGTTCCTCGCCTTTCTCCTGACTGCCTGCCAGCCCCCCAGTTGGCAAGAGAAACCAAATCGAGGCAGGAGAGGAGGCAAGGAGAGGAGGGCACCGATGAGCTGTACCATATTACAGTGCCGTTTTTTTATACATGCTCCGCGTGCGGACCATGTATTGAAAATAAAGGGTTGATTAATAAATACACGGATGAGTTTATGCATTATTTTATTCGTAAATTAATCATGATTTAAAATCCTATGGCTTTTTACCAAAAAAGAGACATCCCGTTATTAAAACCTGCCCTGTAGGGAGGCTGAGGAGCTGGTGATGGCTGACTGTGAAGCCCGCCCCATTCCTGTGCCTTTCTGGAACTTGCGCGCAGTCTGCGCCGGTCCAGGCATGCTCCAGCGCAGTGCCTGGTTTTTTCCTGTTCTTCAGGAGGGGACAAATCACACAGACACAAGTAATTGTCGATTCCCAAGAGAATATGGGAAAATGATATGGGAAGTGGGGGGAAGGAAAAATCCAGAAAATATTTGAAAATAAGGGGGGATCCTGTGATTTGTGTCTATATACTTGTGTGTCCCAGGGCCCTTTCAGTTCTATCCTCTTCCTTCCTCGGTGGGCACCTTGGACGCTGATTGGGGTCGTCTGGACTCTCTTGGGCGGCCTCTTGGGGCCTGCTTGGGGGCCTGCTGGGGCCCCAGGGGGAGCCCGTCGAGGCCCTCTGGGCCGTTTGGGACGCAATGGTTTTCGCCGATGGCGCTCTCCCGCAAAGGAGATTCGGCCCGACCATCTCTGGGGTATCTGGCTGGTCGTGGCATCGCTCGGACGTGTGCATTTTTTCTCGGCGAGAACCCGCGAGGACCATCCTGGACCATCGAGCAAAAAAAAACACGCAAGAAACCGGAAAATGCACGGGAAGTGGACGTCCGAGCGACGGCAAGTTGGTCGTGGGTCATCTCGGAGCCCTTTTTGGCGTCTTGGTGTGTTCTCGAGCAGCAGTGCCCTGAGATCCGGGCGTCTCCATGTTTTCGAGCCGGGCGTTGTCGCTTTTTGTTCGGATCCCGTGACCCTCACAGATCGATCCGGCTCGAGCAATGGCGCAGGTAGAAGGGGTTCGGGGCTCTCGGCGTGATGTCCTATGATTTTGTGTAACGATGCTTGCAACGTCGGATCTCAGGGTGGTGCCATATGGAAACTCTCTTGGGGCAGTCGTCGGTCGGCTTGTGAGCATCGGGGGTTTGTCTGAAGCTTTAACGAGGCGATCGGCAGCAGAACGGCATCGGACAAAAACATACTTGACCTGGCGCTCTTCAACGAGCGCCTCGTTGGACGTCTCTTCGGGCGTTTTTTGGAGGCCTCCTTTGGGGGACAGTTTGCGGAGATGATGCTGTCTAAGGTTGTGGATATATCTTTGGGTCCTGTACGTTGCGCTCGTAGGGCCGTCGGCGGGCTGTCACAGGGTACTCTGCCGCCGTTTTGGGGCGGTCTTTGGCTCTCTAGTAGAGTTGTCTGGAAGCCTACACCAAGGGGTGGTGGGTTCAGAGAACGCTCGCGAGAAGCGGCATGCCTCGTTCTCATACAGCATTGAAGTTTTTTATTGCCAACAAACGAGCATTGTCATACGCCCCAAACAGATACAATTGCCAATCGATGTCAATGATTGTCCCGCTCGCATTAAGGCCTTCGCCGGCGTGAGGGGCCACCATGAACCCGGCGTTCCAGTTCTCCCTGGGCCACCAGGTGGCGAGGGCCGAGATTGGGGTGCGACGCAGCTGCCCGCAGTGCACAGTGCGGGCGGTGTCGAATGACCCGCAGTTTTTGTTGGACAGCGACGCGATAGCGACAGATTGGTGGGCAATCAAATTCCAGGTCTCTTACGCGGAGTCCAAGTAAACGGTGTCGGAGGATCGTGCCGCATCGCCGATGCATCGGCGACGGGGCTATGTCATCTCGTGTAAGCCAGTGCCCAGTGATCTATCGCAGATGCCCGTAGAAGCCGCCGCGTAAAGTCCCTATGTCATCTCGCGAAAAGCCATCTCGTCGCTCTATTGGACATCGGATTTCGGTTTCAGTTTGTGTCGCGCGTGCGGGCGAGGCCCAGCTGCCCGCCATCCTCCCACGGCGGCGGACCCCGGAGTCGAACCGTTGATTTTCCCGTCTCCGCCGCCAGCTCCCCCGGTGACCCCGCCGTGCAAGGCGATTCTTGGACAGCTTGTCTCTCCCCTGGCGGTAACGGATACGACGTCGGAGGGTGGGGCAGTCACGTCACGATTCGCGCCCGCGCCGTTTGGGAATGCCGCTCATGGCCGGCGGGGCCAGTCACGGGCGCGCTATCGCGAATGCAGTGGAGGCCCAGGCCAAGAAACACGCCGCTCGCCTCCAGGGTGCCCGGGGTGTCTTGGGCTTCGATGCTTTTTGCCGTGGACAGCGCGACGCCCCCACACCGAAAGTCGGTGGACGCTCTGGGGGTCTGCAGGTCGGATGCCCTGTGGAAGGCTTCTTGTGAACCGGCCTCCACTGCAGCATCCGCACCTGTGGGCCCACCCTCTGGCTCTAGCTTGGCCCGCGGCTGCCCCGTGGTTGTCGTGCGGCGGTTTCGTGGTCGTCCCGTGGCCGCCCCCGGCAGCAAGAAGATCCAGTCACAGTCGAGACGCAGTCCGGTGACCAGGTTTCGCGAGCGTGTTGCCACACACAATGAGTGCGCGCCGGTCGTTGCAAGTAGGTGGTTTTGGATTCCCACGTGCCAATCTACTCAAGGCGCCTTCCTACTTCAAGAATCGGCTTGCTGCTGCTGTGTTTTGTTGTTCTCTGGGAGGGCCTGGACCCACAATCCACTTGATCCGCCGTCCTGCCTCATGTTTCCACCCACTTCTTCCGACCGACGTGCACGTTTTGACAATTCCTCCGGTTCAGAGCATGAATTGCCTACCCCGCTTTCGCTTCCAGGCAAAACCAAGCCATACCCCGCGCCTCCTCGTCAAGCGGCCTGACCAGTACAGGCCGTAGTTTGGCATCGCTTGGTATCTCTTGGAAGCGAGGGTGGTCAAAAGCGAGGTAGGTTTGTTTGCCCCTTATCTGGTGTCTTGCAAAACCCGCTTGCGGGTGGACCTGCCCGACCTGGGCGTGGGGTGTCCCCGTGGTGCCCTCTGGGCGCTCGCCCCGCGTGCCCCTCGCCGTGGCGCCGCGTGCGGGCGTCGTCGCAGGGCCGTCCGGCGGGCTGCTCCGCGGCTGGGAGCCGGGGTCGGGGTCGGCGAAGAGTTCAGAAGACGATCGTGGGAGCCTTTTCTTGTCGGGGGTGGACAGAACCCCCAATAGTGACACGTCGATTAGTGAATTGTCCGTTTTCGGTTTTCGAGTGGGCGCCGTGGCCGTTATTTTCCAGGCTTGCGCCCGCCAAGTTTGGGCCTCAGGTCGTTTTCACTAAACCACGTTTTACTAAAGGGGGTTCTGTCCATCCCCGATCTTGTCACTTAGTCTGGTTTCCCTGCGCCTCCAGTGGTCCGCAGTCGTTGGCTGGCGCCACCGGATGCCACAGCGGGCTATTTGAGGCCACTGGAGGCCACTGGAGGAGCCACTGGAGGCCGCTCGAGGCTCGCGGGGGGCCACCTGGTGGCCACTGGAGGAGCCACTGCGGCCACTCAGGTGATTACGAAAGGCTCCCAGGAGCGTATTGTGAAGAAGAGGTGTCGGGAGCCCTGAGACGGGGGTAAGATGGCCCAAGAGGCCTCCAGGACGGCCCCAAAAGAGGCCTCCAAGAGCACTCCCAAGAAGGCCCCCCGAGGCAAGAATCATTGATTTTCTATGGGTTTTTGGTGAATTTTAGGGTTCTCCTCTTTTCGGTTTCCGGACGCTCCAAGACGGCGGTCTTCTGGGCGTCCGAAGCCGCCTGGGAGGCTCCAACATCGCCCCACAACCATCCGAAAGGGCTTCCAGGCAGTCCAAGCGAGCCCCAAAACGGGACAATACGGGTCCAAGATGGCCCTCAGAGAGCCCCATGGCGGCCCAAGATGGCCCAAAGACACCCTCCGAAGAATTCCAAATCATGATTCGGTCGTTCAGGGAGACCGCGGTTGGAGGCATGGTGGCCCGAGGAAGCCCCCGGAGGCCCCCAGAGTACGCCCAGGAGGTCTCCAGAAGGCCCTAAGAAAGCCTGAAACAACTTTTGTGAGGCCCCTAGAGGCTCTCCAAGGAGGAGCCTCCGCAAAAAAGAGCTGAGGAGGATGGGGAGAATGCACAGGGCATGGCGACAAGAAAGAAAACGAAGCATGGAGGAAGGATAACGAATAACACATTATGATAGCGGCGATGCCGGAAAAGGCAACCAGGAGGTATCGCCAAATTGTCGGCTTGATTTTCCTGCTATTCCGCCTGCATACCGGACTTCAAGGACCAAGATGCATGGCCCGGAGCGCCTTTGCAGTCGTGTATATATGTGTATATATATGTATATATATATATATGTACAGTTGTATGTATGTATGTATGTATGTATGTATGTATGTATGCATGTATGTATGTATGTATGTATGTATGTATGTATGTATGTATGCATGTATGCATGTATGTATGTATGTATGTATGTATGTTTGTATGTATGTATGTATGTATGTATGTATGTATGTTTATACGCAGGAAGTATATATATATATAGAAAAAGGTGCTAAGAACAATACACATGCGGGGGTCCACGAAGACTTCTCGGAGCGGCGCTGGAGCCCCGTGGCGGCGCCAGCGGGGGGGGGACAGGGCCGCTCCGGCGCAGAGGTCCGAGGAGCCCGCGCGGGCCTCCGAGCGCGCTTCCTCGTGACGCGGTCTGTTTCTCCTGGCATATTGCATGCCCTTCGCCTTCGGCACCGCCTGATCCCAGGGCTTTGCCCTCTCTTGGCCTTGACGTGAGGTCCCTCCTTCTGTTTTCCTCCCTCTGTCAATTGAAGCTGCGCGCGGCCTGCTTAGCCTCGCTTAGCCTCCAAGCGCTCATCCTCGTGACGCTGTTTTGTTGTTTCTCCTGGCATCTTCGCCCTCTCTTGTCGGAGGCCTGGAAATTGGCACCAACACCAAGACAGGGGGTTGCCTCCACAGGGGGAAGATGATCCCAGATTTTCGGCGCTGGTGGTAATATAGTTCGGCCACCTCGGAAGCCAGAATATTATCACCATCGCCGAGATCGGGATCTTCTTCCCTCGGTGGAGGCACACCGCCGAAATTGGTGTTGGTGTCAATCTCTAGGCCTGCGATCTTGGCCTTGACGTGAGGCCCCTCCTTCTGTTTTCCTCCCTCTGTCAATTAAAGCTGTGCGCGGCCCGCTTAGCTCCGACCGGAAGAGGTGCGCTCTGGACCCGCGGATCAAAGAAAATTATTCTCCTGGCATCGCTCGGACGTGTGCATTTTTCTTCTCTGCGAGGACCCTGGAGGAGCATCCTGGATCATCGACCAAGCAACAACATGCACGAAACCCAAAAATGCAGAGGGAATGGACGTCCGAGCGATGGCAAGTTCTAGGCCTCCTAGATGGGTTCGAAGTAGCTGGGGTCGGAGGATCGCGCCGCATCGTCGACGCGGCTCGAAGTGTGGCCTGATTGGTTTCACGTCGGCGTCGCCAATGCATCGCCGACGTCGGCGATTCATCGCCAGTGCATCACCGATGCATCGACGATGCATTGGCGATGGGGCGCGATTTTCCGACCCCATCTACTCGGACCCCATCTGGGAGGCCTCTATATTGTTACCCCAAGGAACCATCACAGATCGACGTAACCTCAGGAGCGGAGGAGCGTCGTACACGTACACGAATCCACGTTGGTTCCAAGAGTACGCATTGCGCGAGCGTTCGTATCACGCGGCCGGTCTCGCAGATTGGGGAGCGTGGTCGGGAGCGCACGTCCTTTGTGGGCTCCTGACATCTCGGGTCAGCCGAGCCCCTGCGGCCGGCCGGGGTTTGGGAACCTCTTGGTTACCAGCCTGGAACATATCCCTATCCCTACGCTGGGCATCTCCTCACCACGATGCCAATCTTAGGGATTCCCTTATTTTTTGAGGGCGCACCCCTAAGATTGTCATCGCCTTTTGGCGTGTCATACTTAGGAACAGGGATAAGTTCGAGGCTGGTAACTTGGGGCCGCTTCTCCTATTCCGCCCGTCGCGGACCCAGCTTTGAGAGACAGACCCTGGCCGGCCGGGCTTCGCGACAGGGCCCCGGCTGCCCCGGGTCCGTGCTGCCCGGGGCTGTTGCGTATACCCGATCGCGGGCCCCGGGGCCATCGTAGATCGACCGGGCGCGGAGAATCCCGCCGGAAGATGGGGTGCATTCGGATGCAATTCTTGGGAGGTCAGATTCTGCCCCTGCCCTTGTCCGAAACCTGGCCTTCTTCCCTTTTAGTCCCGCATATAATCCTGCTGAAACCCGCTTGATGCCGCTTTATTCCGCTCATCGCGCGGCCTCATCGCACCAGCACCCCCACTGGGGCCTAGTCCTCCCTCATCCTTCCGATGCAGACTTCTTCCCAGTAGTTGCTTCCGAAGGTCCAGGGATGAGGTCGTGATTTCTTGCGGTGTGTTGCAATATGTTTTGCGTCGTCGGATCCGAGGGTGGCGACGGTTGGTCGGGGCTATAGGACGAGGATAAATCCGTTACAGAGCGTTCCGGAACGCTCCGAGAAGGCCGCGGCGCCCGAGACATCCTCCAGAGCCGCCGGATCACAGAGATCCCCGATTTCTGCTCACCCGATCCCAGACATGCGACGCCCTGATTTCTTCAGGACGGCGCCCCTGGAAGTGTCCCGACCCGTTCCCTAAGAGACTGGTTCTTCTTCTTGGGTATCGTTTTTGTTGACGGCCCCGGGACCCGGCGAGGGCCCCCCGGAGCCGAAAATGGCCCAAAACCTCCCGTCCTGATTTTTGCACGGCGCGATCCTGTCTGGGACTCTAGCCTCTTGGCATCGATCGGACGTGTGCATGTTTCTTTCGGCGAGGACCATCGAGGAGCATCCTTGACCATGTGGCGAAAAAAGCCACGCACGAAACCGGAACGAAAACACAGGGAATGGACGTCCGAGCGAGGGCGAGGCCTCGTCCTTGGGCCCCTGTCCTGGGCGGCGGGGCGGGGGCCGCGGAGGTGCTGAACGGCCTGGTCTCCGTGGGCAGGTACGACGGCAAGCACCCGTGCCTCACCGCGGGCACCACGGCCGGCAAGGCGCAGCGGCCGCTCCGGGTGGCGGGGGCCCCGGGCCTCGGGCCTCGGGCGCCCCGAGCCTCGGGCCTCGAGCCTCGAGCCTCGGGCCTCGAGCCTCGAGCCTCGAGCCTCGAGCCTCGGGCATAGAGGCATAGAGCCTCGAGCCTCGGGCCTCGAGCCTCGAGGCCTCGAGGCCCGAGGCTCGAGCCTCGGGGGCCCCTCGCGGGGCGGGCGGGCGGGCGCGCCGGGGGCCGAGGTGTTTGCTTCTGCTCCTTGGGGGGGGGGGGGGCCGGCGCGCCGAGGCCCTTCGGCTCTCCGCGCGCAGTGCGCGCCAGGAGTGCCCCTTGGGCCGGAGGTGCCCCCCAGGCAGGTCCAAGGAGCCCCCAGGGCCTCCACCCTCCTCCACCCTCCTCCCCCTCCTCCCCCTCCTCCTCCTCCTCCTCCTCCTCCTCCTCCTCCTCCTCCTCCTCCTCCTCCTCCTCCTCCACCCTCCTCCTCCATTATTTTTCCTCATGCATATCTTCTCCCTGTCGCACCCCGAGGCCAGCTTTTATGGCGGGCCGGGCGTTTCGCCTGAGACTTCCTCACCACTCATGACTCTGAAGCTTAAAAGTTGGCAACGGTTTCACAGATGGAGGGCGGGCCGTTTTCAAAGTGTGGCTCTCGCTTTAGCGCGGCGCACATTCGTTTGAAAAATGCGAGGGGCTTCGCGGATTGAGGGCGGATGGCTTTCAAAATGTGGTTCTCGTCGTAGCGCGACACACATTCTCTGTGCAAATGCGACGAGCTTCACGGATTGAGGGTGGGTGTTTTTCAAATATGGTTCTCGTTTTAGCGCGGCGCAGGTCGTTGTAACAGAGTGGAAATGTTTCACGGGTTCCCATCATCAACGTGCCAGAAAGGATTCAGGATTGTGTTGGTGCAACAAATATGTTGATTCGCTGTGCTGAAGTCCCCGGAACGTCGTTCTGGCACGATTCTGGATTGTCAAGACGCAACCGTCAGGTTGATCCGTGGCGTTGGAGTCCCGAGAACAATGTTTCGGCATGCTTCAGGGTCTTCAGACGGTTGTTTTCCAAAGAGGCAGTTCTTTCGATGGAACTGAGCCGTCGTAGGGGTTTACGAAGAGGGAGCTTGGAGGGAAGGTTTATTCCAACATCGGTGATGACTCTTGGGTTTACACTGGTCCTCCTCCTCCTCCTGCTCCTCCTCCTCCTCGTCCTCCTCCTCCCCCTCCTCCTCCCCCTCCCCTCCTCCTCCTCCTCCTCCTCCTCCTCCTCCTCCTCCTCCTCCTCCTCCTCCTCCTCCTCCTCCCCGTGGCCGAGAGGTTCGGGCCCCACCTCATTTGTCTTGCGTGCGGGGCTTATTCCATTCGCCAGGGTCGAAACAGGAAGTTGGATAAACACTGTGTTGGTGCAAGTGAGGTGCCATCGGTCCGTGCCAATCAAGAGCAGGCTGTTTCACGGTTGATGAGGCGCCTGCACCCTCGGTCTGGAAATCCCTTGCCAGATTGAGCCCGTGCCGTATAAGCTCCACACTTGGTTTCAAGCATTGTCGGGGCTGTCACGGCACGGATGAACTGCGCGTTGCACTGTTATGGCGTGCAGCGCAGTCTCTGTTTTCCCTCGGCTGAGAGGCGTTTGGGCACCAGACGCTTCCTTCATCGCTCGGGACCTCCTCCTCCTCTTCCTCCTCCCCCCCCCTTCTCCCCCTTCTCCTCCTCCTCCTCCTCCTCCTCCTCCTCCTCCTCCTCCTCCTCCTCCTCCTCCTCCTCCTCCTCCTCCTCCCCTCGTCCTCCTCCTTCTCCTCCTCCTCCTCCTCCTCCTCCTCCTCCTCCTCCCCCTTTCCTCGGGGTCCTGGCTGTAGTCGGGGAGTCCACCTCAGGGGGCGGCGCTCGCGCGGAGAGCCTCGGCTCTCGCTTTCGTCACCTGGGCTCGGCGTGGTCTGAGAGTCAGGAGGAGGAAGAGGAGTAGGAGGACGAGGACGAGGACGAGGACGAGGACGAGGACGAGGACGAGGTCGAGGACGAGGACGAGGACGAGGACGAGGACGAGGAGGAGGAGGAGGAGGAGGAGAGAGGCAGGAGTGGCAGAGCACCGCTCCCGAGGGTCAGAGTGCCCCAGGGGCGCAAGAATTGAGCTTGGGCCATGGGCACCTCGAGCAGCGCCCGAGCAAGGTCGAGCACCGCCCGTGCGGGAGAGGGGGGAGGAGTCTCAGGGAACGCTGCCGTGTGTCGCCCGTCAGAGTGTGGCCTTTCGCTTTTGTCTGGAGGCACGGAGCGCCGTCGGCCGTGACCCGTTGATGGGTCCTTCAGGGCGGCGTGTGATTGATGCCGCCATTGTTTCCCAATCAGCGGCCCAGACTCGGCCCAATACGGAACACCCTTTCTGCCTAACGTTCAAAGTCCAACGATCCTCGCAGTGCCAGCACGTTCTAAGTCCAACGATCCTCGCAGTGCCAGTCAGGGAACTAGCAACGGCACAAAACATAACCAGGGGGTCCGCGCAGACCTCTCGAGTCGGCGCGCTGGAGCCCCCTGGCGGCGCCTCCGGCACCGCCCCGTGGCGCGCTCCGCGCGCCAGGGGCGGGGGGTCAGCGCCGAGCCGAGAAATCAGCGCGGGCCTCCAAGTTTTTGTCTCTGTGGCAGTGCTTGCTTCCCTCACGTTGTGTCCCTCGTCCCCCTGCTCCTGATCCCCCCTTCTCCCACTCTTCCACTCCCTACCGCTGCTCCTCCTCATCGCCCCTCTCCCGACTCGCGTGCAGGCGACTTAGCGGAGATCCGATTTGATTGTTCGCGCGTTCATTCTTCAGCCGACCCGTTTTCTCCCGTCCTCCTCCGCCTCCTTCTCCTCCTCCATTATCCGTTTCTTGCAGCGAGGCTTGCAGCGTGAATTCAGCCGACGGCCCAGGGAGGGGAGGCCTTCAAGGCACAAGGGAAAGCGGAAGGGTATGAAGGGGAAGGGCCAGTAGAGGCATATCTGCGGGTGCTGTGATGCGGGTGCTCACAGTGGCGACGGTTTGGCGGCTTGAGTGTTTCGCCCCCCAGAGCTCCCATGCGCAACTCCTGACAGATGAACGCTTGGCAGGTGACGCAGCAGCCGACAAATTCCCACGGGACCGATCGTTCTGTAGCAAATCATGGAAGTCTTGTGTACCCTCGTAATTCTGACTTTCGCCTCGACGATCGTCGATTAGCGTCTAGGAGTCGGTGAGATAGCGCCGATCTAGCGTCAGTTAACCTTGACGACCGTAGATTTAGTGCCGATTAGCGTCGATTTGGCGTCGACTAGCGTCGATTCAGCGTCGACTAGCGTCGATTCGCAAGAGCCGACAAAATGGTATGTGAGGCTCCCGTGAGTTGCCACCGAAAGATCCCGATCTCGACCGGTCTCGTCCTGTCCCCATCCCCCTCTGCCTCTGTTGTTGCTGTTGCTGCTGCTGCTCCGCCTCCACCTGCTGCTCCTCTTCTCTCTCTCCCTCCGCCTCCCCCCACCTCCTCCTCTCCCCCCTTCTCTCTGGCTGCTGCGGCTGTCGCTCATCCTGCTCTCTCTCTCTCTCTCTCTCGCTCGTCCCTCACCCTTCCTCCCTCGTCATCCGCCTTCCCGCCTCCTGCTCCTCCTCCTCTTCCTCCTCCTCCTCCTCCTCCTCCTCCTTCTCCTCCTCCTCCTCCTCGTCCTCCTCCTCCTCCTCGTCCTCCTCCGGCTCAGGCTGAAACCCGTTTTCCCTCCTCTCTTTCATCCTGAGCCCTCCGCGGCCCCAGCACCCGCCCCTCCCTGGAGAGGAGGGGCCACAGGGGGGCCCTGCGCCTCAGGAGGGCCCGGGGAGGCCGCCCCAGGCCGGGGCCGCACGGGGCCCTGCCTCCGCCGTCCGCGTCGCCCTCCCTCAGCAGCGTCACGGTCTGGATACCACGGGCGAGCACCTGACTTTCGCAGAAGGAAAACGGCATGAACATGAACCTTCTCCTCTTCCTTCTCCCCCTCCTACTCCTTTTCCTCCTCCTCTTCCTTCTCCTCCTCCTCCTTCTCCTCCTCCATCCCCCTCCTTCTCCCTCTCTCCTCCTCCCTAACTGTTGGCGCTCCGCGCGGATTTCTTGGATCGGCGCCTGGGCCCCCCCGGCGGCGCCTCCGGCGCCGCGCGCCAGGGAGGGGGGTCCAGCGCAGGTCCAACATATGTGCCCAGAACGCCATTCTTATTCTTCTATATTTGGGTTTATGATTCCGAAGAGTTGGGCTGATGTTTTTTCACCAACTTGCCGGAAAGTTGGCCCCGCTTCAATTAGCACGGTTACCCTTTTCAGCGCGAACGGAAGACATCGGCCCAGGCTTGTCTGAAGAAACCTCCAGGACGCTGGCCCGGATTTCTCAACCGACAGGTTTCTTGATCATATGCTCGGCCGTACTCCCCTCGCTCCCCTGGCTCCGTCCAGAGGATATTCGGCCGTGTCCGCGTTCGGTTTTACACTTTATGTCACGTGTTCTCTTCCTCTTTGTTTGTTCAGTACGTTTGTTTTTTTCGGCGGCGAGCAAGGGGGGGAATGTGAGAAGGCGAAGGTTCGCTCAGAAGGCGGCGGGGCTTCTCAGAAGCCCTCGTGGCTTCTGAGAAGATTTCTGTGTTTTCCGGGAATGCTTAGAAATCGTCTCAGACGGTGGGGGACTTCCGAGCCTTCTGAGAAGGACTTCTCGTTCTCACTTCCCCCCTGGGCTCGCCGCCGATTTTCGGTGTCTCAAAAACGGAACACCCGTTGCAGCGTGGGCCTCATCTTCGGATGGGCGATGTGCTCCAGTCGCTCAGGCTGGCGGTCTCGCCCTTGCGCTGGCCACTCTTCTGGTTCTGGGTCACTTCTCATCGTCGTCGCCCCCCTTCCTTTCCGGTCCTCCACATTCCCTCGAAGAAGAAACAACGCCATGACCAGGAACTTTTGGCGCTCCGCGCGGATTTCTTGAATCCGCGCAGGGGCCCCCCAGCGGCGCCTCTGGCGCCGCCCCTGGCGCCTTCCGCTCGCCAGGGAGGGGGGTCCAGCGCAGATGCAAGAACTCCTCGCGGAGCGCCAACAGTGTAACGTCGTTTTTTCTTTCTATTCCCCTTGCCATCTCCATCACCCCGCTCCTTCAACTCCAGCTCCTGCTGCTGCTGTTCGTCCTCGTCCGCCTCCTTCCCAAACCTCCTCCTTTCCCTCCTGCTCATCCTCCTGCTCTTCCGCCACCTCCTCCTCCAGTGTACGCCGCTCTCTCTCTCTCTCTCTCTTTCTCTCTCTCTCTCTCTCTCTCTCTCTCTCTCTTCCGATCCCGCAAAACACGATGGTGTCCTCGTTTGGAGTACGACGTCCGCTGTGATGCGCGCCAACGCGCCAACGGATGGAGAAGCAACAGAGCAGCGGGCAGGGACGGGCGGGAGGGGCAGGATGTCAGACACGGTGGGGGCGTTCGTTGAGGACTGTGCCCAGGAGGCGTCAGCTCCTGGAGGGCCCCTCCTTCGAGGAACGCGGCGGTGGGTGTCCGTGGCCGAGCCTCGGTAGATGCTTCGCCTGGCCTTCCAGCCCTGGACTCCGTGTCCCACGGTTCCTCGTCCGGTGCCCTCCCGGTGTGGCGCGAGCGCACCTTCTGCCTTGCCTCGTGCCCCACCGCCCGCTCTGCCCCCCCATCCCGGTAGGAGAGAGGAGGAGGAGGAGGAGGAGGAGGAGGAGGAGGAGGAGGGAGGAGGAGGAGGAGGAGGAGGAGGAGGAGGAGGAGGAGGGAGGAGGAGGAGGAGAGGAGGAGGAGGAGGAGGAGGAAGAGGAGGAGGAGGAGGAAGTAGAGGGAGGAGGAGGAGAGAGGAAGAGGGAGGAGGAGGAGGAGGAGGAGGAGGAGGAGGAGGAAGGAGGAGGAGGAGGAGGAGTAGGAGGAGGAAGAGGAGGAGGAAGAGGAGGAGCAGGAAGAGGAGGAGGAGGAGGAGGAGTGCCCCTTCCACTCTCGGCGCTCGCAGGTGCTGATCCACTGCCCCCACAACCGGGGGGCGGCGAGGGAGGAGAGCGAGGCGCGGGCCCGCCCCCCCCATTCGCTCGCTGCCTGCGGGGGCCGGCGGTCCTCGCCGTCGTCGCCGCCTGCGAGCGCAGGGCTCGCAGCCCTGTGCTGCAGCCAGGGCAGCTCTCTTGGCATCGCTCAGACGTGTGCATTTTGTCTCGGCGAGAAGCATCGAGGACGGTCCTGGACCATCGAGCAAAAAAACACGCACGAAACCGAAACATGCACGGGAAATGGACGTCCGAGCGACGGCAAGTTCTGGCTCCAGGCGGCGTTTCTGTTTGTGCTTGACCTTTCCTGGACTTCTGCCGAAGAGCAAAGCAACCGAAGCCATAAGCGTAAACGTTGGGCGCTCCGCGCGGATCTCTCGGATCCGCGCTGGGGCCCCCCGGCGGCGCCTCCGGCGCCGCCCCTGGCGCGCTCCGCACGCCAGGGAGGCGGGTCCAGCTCGAATCCGAGAAATTCGCGCGGAGCACCAAAAGTTTGTGTTATTGCGTTTTGTTTAGTTCTTCTCTTCTGCAGGCACGGATGCATCGCGGGGACATTCCCGGAACCTCTGGAGTCCTCCCAAAAGGTGAAGCCCATGTGCAGAGGGCGGGAGAGAATAGCCTGTTACACCCAACAAGTTAGTTCCGCTTCGCCCCCTCTTCTTCGCTCCTCCTGCGTCGTCTCTTCCTCTCCCCCCCTCCTCGCTCTCCCATCCTCTCTCTCCCCGTCCTCTTCCTCCGTCTCCTCCGTCTCCTCCCATCATCTCCTCCTACTCCTGTCTTCGTCCTCATCCGTCTCCTCTCTCCTTCCTCTTCCTCTGTCTCCTTCTCCTCCTCCTCCTCCTTCTCCCCCTCCTCCTCCCCCGTTCCTCGCGGTCCTAGCTGTAGTCGGGGAGTCCACCTCCTCTTTCTCCTCCTCCTCCTCCTCCTCCTCCTGCCCTTCCTCTTCCTCTTCCGTCTCCTTCCCATGAGATTTGTTGTGCCAGCACGCTGTCCAAGGCATGGGGGCTGCGCAGGCATGTCAAGGACCCCATGGCTGAGGTTGATGAGATTTTTGCTGCGGTGGCCACCATGGAAGACTGCGCGTCCCTTATGGAGGCCAGAAGGGAGATCGGATCCAAGTTGTGGTCCTCGAAATGGTTATCCGATGTTTAGGCTCTCCGAGTTCTAGGGGAGGGCCGAAAGTTGGCCAAACATGAGGTGTACCCTCCTTCGTACTTTGAAGGTCTTACCAGTGCCCTCGCTTCTGCTTCCCGTCGAAAGGCCGCTGGCATCGAAGGATTTCGGAAAAGGGATGCCTGAAGGCTTCCTCGGGAAGGCCGGCAGCAGCTGCGGTTGCTTTATCTGTCAGTTTAGACGTGTGTGGCGCGGCCATGGCAGCGTCTTGCAGCTACATTCCTGTTTTTGGTTCGCAAGCCCGATGTGCGTGAGGATTCTACCATTGGCTTGCTCACTTGGCTCGGACGCCCCTGGAGCCGTAGTGGATCAGTGCCCGCGGGAGTTTGTGGGCGGAGGAGCGCTTAGGCCCGCGGGACGCTGCACGGACGAGGCCGCCGCAGCGTCGGCCTTACCCCACTACTGTGTCGCGTCCAGCTTGTGGGACGCTGAAGCGGTTTTGCGACGCGGTTCCGTGGGAAAGGTTTCTTGCCCATGTTTCGTCGCTCGAGTTCCCCGCCATGTGTTTAGCTCTTGAGACGCTCCTCCGCACTGGCCCCACGGTGCTCATCGACTCGGATCCCAGGCATTCCAACGGGATTTGCTCAGGCCTGCAGGCGCGCACAGCGCATCCACAAGTCAGCGAGGGCGGCTCTTCGCAAGGTGGGACCCAAGCTGGTCCTCCCGGGAGCGCTCCCCAAAGCTTGGTATGCCTGGAAGCTCTTTGGAATTACCCATGTTTCTTTTGCGGTGGAGGAGGGCCCTTGCTAGCATTCTTATGGCCTTGGAGGTGGGCCCCAGTCACCCTGCTTTCAGTTAGGTGTTTTTTGATTCTGGAGTCCTGGTTTCAGATCGTGCCGATTTGTTTGGCAAAGCGTGTGATCGCATGCCCAGATTTTGGGAAGAAGCTGCCGGCAGAAGTCAGAGCCTCGGACCGAGAGGCGCAGGTGGCACAACATTCGAGGACCTTTTTCCAGCTGGGGTGGGTCCCGGATGGGTCCTGGAGAGACCTTGGAGGTTGATAGCCCCAAACGGAGGCGTGTGTGTGTGTGTGTGTGCGTGTGTGTGTGCGTGTGCGTGTGTGTGTGTGTGTGTGTGTGTGTGTGTGTGTGTGTTTGAGTGTGTGTGTGTGTGTGTGTGCGTGTGTGCGTGTGTGCGAGTGTGCGTGTGTGTGCGTGTGTGTGTGTGTGTGTGCGTGTGGACCGGCAGCGCCGGTTCTGGGACTGCCCGCGGTGGGCCGACAGGAGGCGCGCGGCGCTTGTGGCCAGGGGCCTCTCGGCCGCTGCCTTGCAGGCCCGCCTGCCGCTGGGGGTCGCGAACACCGGCGTGCTTCCGCTCGACGCTGGCTTGGCCGCGCTCGCTGCTGCCGCCAGCGCCAGCGCCCCCGCGCCCGCGCTCCCCCCGCCTCACCCGCCCGCGGAAGGCGCAACGCGGTGCCGGGCCTGGACCGACGGCGCGTGCGAGCACCCGACCGACCCGCTGCTGGCCCGCGCCGGGTTTGGCGTCCGCTTGGAGGATGCCGCGAGCGCGAACCGACCACAGCGGCGGGGTCGACGGGGCGCAGACTGCGCGGCGCGCCGAGCTCACAGCAGCGGTGCAGGCGCTTCACGCGGCCCAGCAGCCCCTCGAGATCGTCACAGACTCGCAGTACGTCCGGAACGGTGTCTCCGCGCTCCGGCAGGGCGCTACCCCACGGGAGTGGTCGCACTCTGTCTTGTGGGAACTCATCGCACCCCACTGCCGCTGCGGGTTCCTGACAGCGAGGTGGATCAAGGGCCACCTAGACGAGGACGGCGCCGCCGCGCGCGGGGTGTCCACTGAGGACCGGCTGGGCAATGCCGCCGAGGACGAGCTGGCTGGGGCGGCGGCCTCAGCGCGGTTGCCGCCGCTGGACCTCCTGCAGGCTCGCGGGGTCACGCTGCACGCCCTCCGGACGTTGCAGGTGATGCTGGCCGAGGTCGAGCTGGCGGCGCTCAAAGCCAACCACGGCAGCGCTGGGCAGGCGCCGCCGCGCGTGCGACGCCGCTGGGCCGCACCAGGGCCGCCGCGCCGAGAGCCCCGCGTGGGCGGCGACGCGGCGGTGGCGGCGGCCACGGCCAGGAGAGCGCTGCCGGCAGCGCCGCGCCAGAGCCCCGCCGAAGCGGCCCGCGCGCTCTTCGCCGGCGGCGCCTGGCGCGCGCACGTCGCTTCGCAGGGGCCGGGGTGGGTCGCCTGCGTGCGATGCGGCTGCTGGGCTCCCGCGTGGGAGCTCCTGGCCAGCCGCCCTTGCGGTGGGTGGGCGCCGGCACTGTCGCCACTGGCAGCGGGTCTGCTTCTGCTCCCAGCAGCGCGCTCGGGCGGCGCGGAGGCGGCTTGGCGCGGCGCCCTGCAGGCTCGCTGGGAGGCCCGCCCGAGGGCGCCGGACTAATTTAGTGCATGCAGCCGGGCTGCGAGCCGCGCGCCTGGCCCTCCCCCTCCCCCTCCCCGCTCCCTCCCCCCCGCCGCCTCCTACCTCCCTGCCACTGGGCTCCGCTGGATGGTAAAAAATGTTTGTGTGTGTGGGTGCGTGTGTGCGTGTGTGCGTGTGTGCGTGTGTGCGTGTGTGCGTGTGTGTGTGTGTGTGTGTGCGTGTGTGTGTGTGTGTGTCTGTGTGTGTGTCATTCCTCACGAGATGCGCCAGAGTGCGCACAGTCCCTCTGGAGTCAGAACTGCAGCTGTGGAAGGAAGCCCTCCATTTCCGCAATGGGGGGTGGGCGGCCAGGCAGGGAGTGGATTTCCGTGCCCCGCGGCCCCAAGAACGGGCCTCTTCGGTCCATCTACATGGAAATTGTTTTGACCCGATCCCTCTTTCCGTACGCGCGTGACGATTGCATCCCAGTTTGTGCCCGCGGTGCGGGGCCAGTCCTCGGAGGGAGATCCACTGGTTCTGGGAGTGCCCGTGCAGTTCTGAGCTTCGGGATGCCTCGCAGGCTCCTGCTCGGACGGGAGCCGCTGCCTCGACCGCGTGTCCTGCCTCATGGTTGCGTGGCCTCACGCCCGTGTCCTGGACCGGGATCCCTCCCCCCCCTCGACGTCAGTATCGCTTGACCGACCCCCATCCCCATCCTCATCCCCATCGAGACCCCCCCCAAATTTCCACCCCAGTTGGAGATACACCCCCCGAAACCCGAAGGGAAGGGCCAACATCCCCATCTAGGGGAGTAAATCGGCCAGTGGGGCCCAGGCCACGCCGCAGGGGATGGGGATCGGATGAACCATGCCCACGACTCACGACGAGCCGCTTTTTGGACTCCTCTGGAGCCTTCCCGAACCCCGGGGAAAGCCGTGTTTGGGGGGGCGGGTGACGCGAGCGGGGGGGGGGTTCGAGGAACCGCAGGCGCAGGTTGGTGTCTCGGGGCGTAGCAGGCGGTGGCCAGCCTTGCGTTCGTCGCTGGAGGGGGCTCCCTTGGCAGAAATGGGGTGTGAATCGTGGCGAGTCGTGGGCCCTGCTGAAGTTTTTTTTGAGCAGGCTCCTGAGTGGGCGCCCCCGGGCCCCTGGATACAGTGCGGACTTGGCCTACATGGCGAAGGAGGCGTCTAGGGTTCTGTCGGGCCTGTCCCTCCACAGGGGAGATACCCAAAAATTGGCAAAAAAAAAAAATCTGGGGACTATTTGTATTGTATTTTTCATCCATTTTGGAATATGTTTTGAGTATTTTTCATGTTTCGTCGAAAGCCCCCCTGTAGGGGGACACGCCCGACTTCAGTCTAGGGTTCTCTCGGGCGCCCTGGGCAGGATCCAGACCCACCTTGACTCTTGGTCCCAGATCTTCGACTTCGTGGTGTTGTGGTGTCTCGGATTCCCAGCCACATCGAGAGTTCGGAAGTGACTGCCACGGGGCTGAATCCAGGC